GAGTACCTACTAGCGTCAGGCCTGGCTACGTCTTTTATAGCCTTAAAAAAAAGAAAATCAGCAGGGCCTGTGCATGCTTTGATATCAGCACGCAGGAGGCTGAGGCAGGAGGATCACTGTGAATTGGAGGCTATTCTGTGGAGTAAACAGGGCAAACCTGGTCCAGTCTAGCGGGGGCAGATGTTGAGTTTTCTACACAAGTAACTGCAGCTCAGAGAGGCCAAGAAACTGCTCCCGTCACACAGTAAAGGGCTAGCAGAGTCTGTGCCCTAACCCAGATCTTTTTCCTGTGGGACCGTTTATCTTCAGCCTCTCTCGGACGCTGACCTTGGTCAGCTCATCCCAGACACCAAGCATGAGGAGTTGTCCCAGGGCCTGTGTCACCTCATGCTGGCTCTGGGGGCATCAAGGACTGCCCCTGGGTGGGCCACTGTCACCTGTCCTCTGAAGCCCACTGGTTTGGGCTGTCTGGTGCCCAGACAGCCTGCTGCTTGTGGCCTGCCTGGCCTCGTGGCCTGGTGCATCAGCTGAGCTACGGGGTCGCCCTTGTCCTCTGAGTCTTGTGGCCCAGATGCCGGGGCTGGGCCGGGATAGGGCCCCGGGGGTCCAGTGCCTTTGAGTTAGGACAGGAGCAAGTAAGCCCATGGGGAGAGCTCCCTCCCATGTCCACACAGCCCACACCTGGCACCAGGGCCCAAGCCCAGGGTCCTTGTGGATCAAGGCAGCCCGGAGCACTTTCCACCTTCAGGCCCTGACTGTGGGGTGACCAGCCTGGCATAGCCTGGAGAGGAGGCCTGGCTACATTATCCAGAGCCCCAGTCCAGCAGACCATGCAGAGGGACCGGCCGGTACCCCACTCCCACGGGCACAGCGGCCTCCCCAAGAGTCACCAGCAATCCTGGTTCCCAAGAGGGGCAAGCAGAGGCCCAGATGACCCCAGCGGGGTCCAGGCCTGCCACATCCCAGGCCCCCCGCCAGTCCACCCTGAACAGGCCACATCTGCCATGGCAGCCACGGCAGAGCTCCACCTCCCACCCATCCCCATGGAAACGGGGGGGGGCGGCTGGCCCACTGACTGGTTTCCATTAAAGCGCCTGCTTTCCTGGAGCCCTGCCCCTGGAGCCCAGGGCCTCCCAAGGGGCCCTGTCTGCATCTATGGAGCCCAAGGCGGCCTGTGCCAGGGAACCTGGGGGTCCGGCCCTGGCCTCCCTCATCCCAGTGCCCAGGATCCTCCCCACAGTGGGGCTGCTCTGATTTGGCAGGCTCTGGCCAGCAGCTGCCGTGGTCCCAGATCCTAGGCTGAGCCCTGGGCCCAAGTTAGGGTCCCTGGCTCCCATCCTAGCACCGCTTCCTTTCTCTATGCCTCAGTTTACCCATCTGTAACTGAGAGGGGTTGGATGGTTTCTTCAGTTCCTTTCAGTGTCAAAACAGGAAGCAAGAGGAGAGCCCAGAGCCGCCCCGCTGCCAGCCCTCTGGTCCTAGGACTGAGAATTTGTTTGTTTGACTTCACAGGTTTTTTTAAGGGTAGGACTCACGGAACTTGACCAGAGATGGAGAGGCCAAGTGCCAGCAGGAGCCCAGGGACGCTCAGCATGGAAGGCCTGGCTCTGCGGGCAGCTGTGCCTGCTACGCCCTGGGCACCTGGTGACCTGGCCATGAATGCAGTGAGCAAGGCTTGGACAGTGCCTGAGAGGCGAGAGGTCAGAAATGAGGGCAGAGAATGAGCTCCAGCTTTTGAAAATTGCAGCCGGCTCAGCCCCGGGGAAGGCACCAGAGTCAGCTTGGAAGAGCTGCCAGGGCCGGCCCAGCTCTAGTGGCAGTGGCCCAACACCTGCCTCCTGTGGCTCCACAGGAGAGGGGCATTGGCACCGGCCCTCAGGGACGCTTTGCTGGCCTGATGGCTGCTCTGGCTCCTCCCACAATCCTCTTGGCCCCTGCCGGCCTGTGGAGAAAGGTCCTGGGTGCTGGGGATACAGGAGCGGTTCCTTGGGCTGCAGCCCAATCAGCAGCAGGGCAAATTGGCCTGACCACTTGGGCAGGACTGTTTCCTCCTCTGGCTGCAGTGTCCTCGTCCTTGGGTGGGGACAGTGACCCTGCCACCCAGCTTGTGGAAGAGCAGGGTGAAGATGGAGGCTGCTGTGTCATCCTGGGCCAGGGAAGAGGCCCGTGGGTCCTGGGCATGTTGTCACAGCCCCTCGAAAGAAGGGTGTGGCAGCATTTCTGGTTTTCTGCCCTGGGCAGGGATGAAATTTGGGTCGGGTTGGTTGCACCTGGCAGCCACCACTCTGCACACACACATGCACACACATGTTCACACACACGCAAGCCCAGTAAAAGTAGGCCGAGGGAGTCTGCACGGTGGGCTGCAGCCAGGCCCGGGCTTGATTTAGACGTCCGGGAGGCTGGGATAATGTAGGAAATGAAGAAATTTCCCCAGGGAAAGGGGAAGACAAGACAGAGGAGCTTAAGTGCCCAGATAATTAGGAAGCGTGGCAGGGTGATTTATGGGAGGCAGCCCAGATCCTCGGCGTCTCTACCACCCCCTCCTGCCTGTGCCCTGTGCCCTGGGGACCCACAGGGTGGGCACAGCGGCACCCAAGCCCCACTTTGTCTCCTGGGGCTGAGCCCTGAGTGGGCACTGGGCAGGAGGCGTGGCGGAGGGACAGAGCTGCTCTATGTGGCAGGCTGACATCTGCTATCTGGGGTGACCTCACAGAACCCCGGCCTGCTGCCAGCCCCGTCCTGCAGGGAAGGAAGCTGAGTCCGGGTGTTCAGCCCCTCGAAGGGCCTGTGCCAGACCTGCTGCTGTCCTGCGTGCACCCTGGGCCTTTGCCCCTGCCCATTCCCTCGGTTTCCCCACCCACCTCTGACATAGGTGGATCTGTGGAAGGTTAGGGCCTGATGGCATCCCTGGGCTTTGACCAGGGCCCAACTTGCAGGGTCCCTGGGGCTAGGACAGTCACACGTGGAGATGGAGGAGTCCGTGTACTGCTGCTGACGGGTGTGATACTCTGGACAGCCACACTCACCCAGGCTGGGATGTTTGTGATAAGGTGACCCAGTGGGCACCCTGTGGCCCTTCCACATGGCACCCATGGTCCCAACATGTGGGACCCACACATCCATGACCCACATCTGGATAGATGCACCATCTGCAGGGCTGGGCGGAGGACCGAGGTTGCTTCTGTGTTCTTGGCTTCTCTGTCCAGAACTTCGCTCAATAGAGCCAGGCGTGGTGGTACAGGCCTGTAATCCCAGCACTCTGGGAGGCCGAGGCAGGAGGATCAAAAGTTTTCATCCAGCCTGGGCAACATAGTGACCTAATGAGACCTCTTTTCAAAACAAAAAGTGTGCCGGGGATATAGCTCAGTGGGAAGGCCCTGAGTTCAATCTCCAGTACCAGGAAAACGAACAAACGAAAAAATCCCAGTGTCTCCAAAATCCAGAACCTGGCTTAAAATGTACTTCTTTTGCAATGGAGGGAGAGTTTGTATGAAACTGAGCACCTGGCCAGGGTGAAACGGAGCCGGATTATTGTTATTCGTCATCCCCGGAAGAGAGACGCTCCATGTGGCCCATGTGTCGAGGTCCCAGGGCTGTGGGCCAGGGTGGCACTGTTGGGCATGTTTGCCATTGAAGTGGAGCAGGGGGACCAGGCTCCATGTGGCCAGCTCCACCATGTCGGCGTGGCCGATGACCACCACGGTGACGCTGCTTTAGGGAGAATCCGGCCTCCTTTCCTCCTGGCACAGCTAGAAAGCCCCAGTCTGGAGTCCGAAACCATGTCTGTGATGGAAACAGGCCCAGGACTCGGTTTTCCCCTCACACAAGAACCCCCATCCCTGTCCCCACACGGGGACCGAACCCAGGGCCTTCATGCTGAGCTACGCCCCCAGCCCTTTTTAAGCTTTTTATTTTGAGACAGGGCCTTGCTAAGTCACTGAGGTGCCCAGGCTGGGCTTGAACTTGCCATCGGGCCATTCTCGGTGTCACCAGTAGGAGAAGCAGCTCCTCAAGACATCGGTGGGGCTCAGGACTCGTCAGATGGACATCCTGTGACCTCGAGGGTCCAGAGTGGGCCTAGGGGGGGCCTGGTCCCTTTGCTGTGGCGCAGGACTCGTGCTCTGGCCCACGGTCCCACATTCACGCCCCTCTCCTGCTCCCCCTTTTCTGCCACCCTCAGTCCTCTGAGCAAATCTGTGGTGGTGGGGAATGGCCAGGTGCCTCCGCCACCTCACCCCGGTCCCATTCGGAGCTGAGAAGAGGGTTGGGTGAGTCTGTCACCGGCTCCCCCAGCAGGTCCCCTGGGAGCCCTCAGTGGGCCCCTCCCACCTCAGAAGCCTCAGGAGCCCCCCAGAGGTGGGGGACTCAGGCTAATGTCCACAGGAAGTGGCCCCGGACCAGGTGACGGATTCTGGGGTGGCCAGGCTGAGGACTGGACCGCCTGGCTGGCCGGGCCTTCTTGTGACCCAGGGTCTGTGGCAGCCGGGACCCCTGGGCCTGCTGGGGGAGAAATGCTGGGGTCCTCCCAGAGGTGGAGCAGCCCTGGTGAGAGCCACCTCCTGGGCCTCAGGGCCCCCCTCACAGACTAGGTGACCACGCAAGTCACCACTTAGGAAGGACCGCGCTGCCCCCTTACACCCACCTATTGGCTGTCATTCTGAGAGTGAGGAGAGTGAGGGACCTTTCCCGTCCCGTCCCGTCCCGTCCCGTGGGTGCCAGGCACTGAGCTGGGCCCGGGGACCCACGGCTGGTAGGGGATGCCCCAGCACAGAGGTCCCAGGTTGGGGACACCGCAATGCAAGCCCCATGAGCTGAGCTGCAAGGTCCCGGGTCTGGTGCTCTGCCCCCTGGGGATGTTCAGAGCCTTGGGCCCCTGCGAGAGGAGGGTTGTGGCCCTGGAACTGGGAGGCACGGGGGAGGCACTGACCCCATTTGTTCCCCTCTGGGGTCCTGAGCCACCTGCTGTGCTGACGTTTCTGTCTCCTTGTGTCTTGCAGAGTGTGGCTGTCACAGAGCAGAGCCTGCGCCGGTGGGCACTAGGACCCCACACCCAGGTAGGGCTGGGCAAGGAGGGCTCACCCCCCAGGTGCCAAGAGCCTTGGGGTGGTGGCCTGGCAGAGAGAGCCACGCACTGGGTCTTTTAGGGAGCGGGGACCCAGCCTGACTTCATGGCCCTGTGCTGCCCAGAGTCCCCGAGGGGCTCAGCCAGCATCCCCCAGGCCTGCACACAGGCCAGGGACCGTGCCCCTCGGAGATGGCCCAGCCCACCCCGTACTAGCTGCCCAACTGGACAGGCTTTGATGGTGCCCGAGTCTCAGTTTACCCATTCATAAGACGGGCAGGAGTTTTGGGGTAGACAGGGAACCCCAGAGTGCCTGTGGCCTCACAGGGAGCTGGACAGTCTTCCCTTGAAGTAAACGCCTTCGGGATGGGAGGCCACCCAGACGTGTGGCCCCAGAGTCCTGCACTCCCCTTCCTTAGCCCATCACAGTGGAGCCCATGTATGGGGCAGTGCAGGCCATCTCTGTCCATGGGGCCCTGAGGGTCTTGGGGCCCAGAGCCCAGGCCTGCTGTGGCCACGTGGCTTCTGGTCAGTGTCAGAGGAGGATGGGCATGGAGGTGACCCAGCCGGCAAGGACACAGGAAGGGGCCAGGTGGGGAGAGGTCACCTCTCCCAGGCCGTGGGGCCTGAGAAGCCACCATGACAGCCCTGGCTCTGTGCATATCACCTGCCCACGTCACCTCTCCAAAGCCGCTGCTGTATGGCAGTGGTGTTGCCCAGCCCTCAGGGCTTTCCGGTCCTTACAACTCCTCAGACACAGCCTCAGGTCCCCAAGGACACACGGAGACAGCCACACCTCGGCAGGACTGAGCCATGGCATCAGGTCCAGCCCCTAGATACCCCCACCCTACCTTCACTGCTGAGGTCCAGGGGGGGGTCATGGTAGATCTGGCTGCAGACCTATGCTAAGGCAAAGCCTGGTCATACGGCAGGGAGGGAGCCACAGAGAGAATACAGGCCACCTGGAAAGATAAAAATAAGCAAAGGGAAAATTGAAGGTAGGCCTAGAAGCATGCCACCAAGAAGTGACCCCATTGCTGGTGGAGACCTGTAAGCTCAGCTCTGAGCTTCCTGGCTGCCAAAGCAAAAAGGGAAAGGTGTCACAGTAGTAAGTGACATTAGGGGAGAAGTGACCCCAGCAATGATAGTGAAAGAAGATGGACCCATACTGAGTGCCAGATGTCCCCAACCCCTAGTCAGGGAAGACAGGGAGGGAGAGGGGGAGCTCCTTTCATGTCCTGAAAGCCCAACCCTGAACAGGCCACACCAGGCAAAGCCTGTCACTTACAATCACCGGGTCAAAACACTGCTACCACCTAGCACCCCTTAGGGCCTGGCCCAGGGAACCAACATGTCTGAGGCACAGGGTCTGGACACAATGTCCCTCAGACAAGGTGGCTTCCTGGCCCTTGAGCCACCTGGGCAAGAGTTTCCAGGTGGCTCAGGCATGGGGCCCAAGCCTCAGGGCTCTCAGGACCAGGTAGCCAGAGTCAGCGGGTGAATGAGGGCGGGGCACGCTCACACCAGGCCGCACCCAAGCCTGACTGTACTCTCTTCGTTCCAGGTCTTGCCGGCTGCTGGCCACTTCCCCAGGGACAGGGACACTGAAGCCCAGGTCGGTACAGTGCCCGTGGTACAGCTGGAAATGGGAGCTGTCAGCCCGTCCTGGCCACTGCCTGAACCAGGCCCCTGAGGGTGATGTCCATGTGTCCCGTGGGCCTGGGGACTCCCATGTGCCCCATCCTGGCTGGGCTGGGTGCCGACCGCCACCCCTGGTGCCTCTCTGCAGCAGCGGGACCAGGGTTTCTGAGAAGTCAGGGCCGGCCCAGGGCTCTGCCGGGGAAAAGGCCTAGAACCCTTTCCAGCTTGGCCATCAGCAGGTCTGGGACAGTGGCCCGGCCAGTTTGCCTTCTCTGTGGTGCCGCCTAGGACTCAGTGCAGCAGCCCATTGTCCTGAGGGGTCTGGGGCCTGGGCTGTGCTGGGCACCCTCCCCAGCAGGGTCTGCCCTAGACCCCCAGCCTCACACGGACCCAGGCATGCTCCCATGGTCCCCGGTGTCCTGTGGGCACAATGGCAGGTAAAACCATGACCCAGGTGGGCCCTTCATGTGGACTCAGGCACAAGTGCACCCCAGGTCTCTGACCACCAAGCTCTCGCATGCAGGGAGCCACAAGGGCATAGTTCCTGGACCAGGACAGGGTCCCAGAGGGCTGTGACACACGTGACCGGCTGCTTTGGTTGTGTTTTCCAGTACTAAGGATTGAACCCCAGGGGCTCGTGCATGCTAGGCAAACACTCTACCACTAAGCCATGGCCCCAGCCCTTTTAAAAATTTTTATTTTGAGATAAGATCTGGCTAAGTAGCACAGGATGGCCTTGAATTTGCAATCATCCTGCCTCAGCCTCCCAAGGAGCTGGGCTCACAGGTGTGCGGGGCATGGTTTTTAATTGACTTGAACTTGCTGTCCTTGAAGTCTGCTCAGATGGACCCAGGATGGGGGGGGGCACCATGGCAGCCCTGCTGGCCCTGTCCCCTACCCACTTCCGGCTGTTGTCACTCGCTCCCTGGCTGGCAGCGCCTATCCAAACTTGGTGCCTGTGGTAGGCACACAACCCACACTGAGCCGCAGCCACCATGCTGGCCTGAGGGGAGTCACCTGTCCCTGGGGTCCCCAGCCATCACTGCCACCCATGTGTCAGGAGCTGGGGAGACAGAGGTGGGGGGGTGGGCAGGAAGTCAAGGCTAGAATGAGGGCAGGGGCTGGAACCCCACCACACCCTCAGCCTGGGCAGGGTCTCAGGGGGACCCCAGACGGCAGGTGAGCTACCGATCTCATCTGTGGGTGAAGGATCGAGGGCAGTTGACCAAGGGGCCTCCGGGCAGGCTGGGAGGGACAGGTCTGCTCTAATACCAGACAGTCAGTTTGCCCTATTTGCCTTTAAAAATACTGTGTGCTTGGTCTTTCTGTCCCAGGAAAATGTGGACAAAAGCCAGTGTCGGGGTCCCCGCACCACACAGGTGCCTGCCAGACCCAGAGGGCCCTGAGGTGGGATGGGGCCTCCTTGGTGTGGGGCTTCCTGGGGTCACCCTGGGCAGAAGCATCCAGGCCCCTGGCAGCTGTGTGACCTCCGTCAGCTCAGTGCTTCTGGGTCTCTGTTCCCTGACCCCAGACACTGGGGAAGACTGACCCTCCCACACCACTGTGTGACTGTGCAGAAGCCACCGGAGTGATGAGCATCCATACTGGCCTTCCCTGGGGGACATGTGTGCCCCGGCACTGGCTCACATGTTGGCAGCCATATTGGGATCGTGATTTGAACCCAACACCCCGTGACTGTGAGGTGGACCTGCCCCCCACTGAGGAGAAGAGCCTAGGGGAGGCCCACAGCATACTCTCCACTCCTGGGAGTTGGCAGGGCAACTGTGGCTGCACAAGTGACGGGCTGGTGGTGGCACCTGCCTCAATGCTGCCCATGTTGCCATAGCAACCCCACACTGTAAGGAAACCATGGGCTTCTCCCCAAGTCTACCCTCTTGTTTTCTGACACAGACCCTGTCCCCCGCTGTGAATCAGCTGGTCCTGAGTCTCTGGGTCTGTGAGGATCATCTGCCCCTCTGAAACTGCCCTGCAGGGCTCAACTGCTGGCCATACCACCCCACAGGGCTCAGTTTACCTGTCTGCAGAGTGGGATTTTTCCTCCACTGCATGGGCCAGGAGGGGGCCTAGAGCTGTCTTGTCTGTCTCTGCTACATCCAGGGCAGAGCAGGGGAGGAAGACATCCCTGCAGCCACCTAGGGTCATCCTTTATGGGTTCTGTGGGTTCACTGAGTGCCCACTCTCTGCTCTGGACAGGATGTGACAGCAGCAGTCTTAGTTGGGAGCTGTAGTCTCATGACCAAGGGTCAGGGAAGGAGATGCGGGTCTGTGGGGGTCACATATTTGGGAAGTGGCCGGGACAGAGTGGCTTGACACACATAGGCAGGCTCCCAGTGCCACACCATGGCTGAAGCCAGAAGGTGGAGAGAGGTCCTCCTAGCATCCCCTTGATGGTCACCCAGCAGCTGCACTAGTCTCTGGTATGACAAGTCCTGTTGGCTGTCCTTGGGCCGGTGGGCAGCATCAGTCCCTGGAGTATAGGCCAGCCCTTGGGCCACCAGGCTGAAGGCCACCAACCTAGGGAAAGAGAGCCCACCTTCCCTAAGGCCAAGGTGAAGAACTTTTAATCCAGGCTGGGCAGTCCACGGTGGAGAGCTTCAGTGCTCTTGGGCAGGAGGTAGGTTCTAGAAGGCCTGCCTGCCCTGCTCCCTGGCCAGGCCATCCCAGGCCTCAGTACAGTGCAGTGCCCAGTTTCTGGAGCGGATGTCCCTCCTCCTCCTTCTCTCTGCCCGCTGTCCACTGTTCCCCGCCCTCTGGCTTCGGCCGTCTTTGTCTTCCCAAGCTCCACAAAATGGCTGCTGCAGCCCTCCGCCATTTTGTAACTGAAGTGGGCAGTGGCCTTAGGGGAAGGAGGAGGGAGACCCCTGCCCACTGCTTGCCCTGGGCAGCCTGGACGGAGCCCAGCACCAGCCCCCGCCTTGCCTGGTCTTGGCCATGGCTGCCCTGGGCTTGGCACAGCCACTTGGCAAGGCAGCCCGGGAGACCTGGCCCCTCACCCAGTCCCACCCAGCCCCTTGCCACCACTGAGGCTTCCCCGCCAAGCAGACACTAAAGCCTCTCAGAGGTCAGGGGGAGCATCTACGTGAAGGACGGTGTGGGAGCATCTGGTAAAGGTGTCTCTCCAGGAGTGACGAGATGTGGCCGGTGGCTGTGGCATGGGTCAGGTCTTTGCTGTGGAGGAGGTCACTGGTGTACATCAGGGCCCTGCCTCAGACCGCTGAGTGGCTCAGGCCCTTCAAAGATGCCCGCTGTGGTTCCCAGACAGAGCCTTCTGCCACCTGGAGGTGACTTTTTTGCTCCTGGTCCCTCCTAAAGACCCCACCAAGGACGGGATGGTCGGATGCCACCCACTGCCCACCTGCCAAGGCCAGGACTGTCACACATGTCACACCAGGCCTGGAGCCTCCTGGGAGGAAACACAGGAGCCCAGGCTTCCACAGGCAGGAAACACCCCCAAAGAAGGGCCAGGCCCCAGCCTCAAGGATGGAGAGATGGAGATGAGAATCGTTGGAGATAAATTGAGCCTTGGAGGCTACCGTGATTGCCTGGTGGTTAAGCGCGTTGGGGACAGAGAGGCTATGCGATTCCACCTTCCCCTCTGGGCACCGAGTGAATCCTGGGACCTGACCCCGGGATATGATTCCTGACTTCCTTGCTGCCATGAACAGCCCTTGGAGCTGGCATCCTTACCGGTTTACAGAGGACACCACCGAGGCCCAGAGGGCCACCAGCCTGCCAGCAGCTGGTTGCTTGCAAGGGTCGGAACTGTGCCCCAAAACCTGTCATCCAGGCTTCTCCTCAGCTCACAGCTGTCAGATTCGCTCGGGCTATTGTGGCCGCTGCTTATGCCCGGCCCACCCTCTCCCACGCCTGGGGGCCCCAGAGACAGGAAAAGAGAGAGCCTGGTGGGGACAGACTCACAAGTGGCATTCCCTGCCCTGTGCCAGGCTCAGCAACTCCGGGGAGGGGACCTGGGTCCCAGCAGCCCCGGAAGGCTGGCCGGCCATGGGTCCCATCCAGGGTCTGTGATGCCAGATCCTGGCTCTCATTTGCCCCTGTATCCCCAGGATGCGCTTCTGGGGGCCTCAAGGCCTCTGGGTGCCTGCTCCTGGCCTGGCCAGTGCCCCCCAGCCACACTCCACCTGGGCCCAAGAACGAGCCTGAGCCATCTCTGTGTAAGCTTGATATTATTACAGGATGGTCCTTTTTGCTTTGGATGTTATTTTTCTTAATCTTACACGAAGACGTAGTGTGGGGCCCCTTAAACTGCCACAGCCTGGAATGGCCCCATGGGCGTGGCCCACTTCGGGGTCCCCTGGCCAGCCACATCTGAGCCTCAGCCTGACCGGGGCTTGCGTCTCGTTAACTTTATGGGCTGTGCGCAGGGAGCCCCGGATGCCAGCCCTCCATCCTTCCCAGACGCCATTGTTGGCACGGCTTGCTGAGCAGAAACACTGGCCGCTTTATGGGAGAAACCTAATCAGGGCGGGCAGGGGGCCGGGGGGGGAGGGGGGGCTCTGGCTCCTGGTGGCCCTGAGCCAAGCCCGAGGTGACTTCAGGGTGAGACTGTCTGTCTGCCTTGCTCACTCCAGACATCCGCCCAGCCCTGAAAGGGCCACCTGCCTGCTGAGGCCTCCGAGCACCTGTCCTGGATGGCCCGTTCCTCCCCAGCCTGGCTGCCCGGCACCCTGCCCACAGGCAGACATCGTGGGGTTGGGCAGGGCCCGGGAGGTGGCAGATGGCGGGGCGTCTGCTGACTACTTGCTCCCTGGCGGCTCCACTCAGGGCTCGCCATTCACTTGGCTCGGGCCAGGGATTTAGCTCAGAGGTTCCACCGCCTGCCTCGAGAGCACAAGGTTCCAAGTTCTATCCCTGGTACCAAAAAAAATTAAGGCACTATCCACCCTGCTGCCTGGCCCTCCCTGGGGCCCTTCTCCGCCATCCCCAGGGAGGGGACGTCTCTGTGGTGTCCCCAGGAGCAAGCTGGAGGTCACGTCATGGGCTGGGCTGCAGGCCAGGGGGACCTGGAACATCTCAGCCCCCACCCCAGACCTGACATTGGGATCTTTTCCCCACTGGTTCAGAAACGGCTGCCCCCACTCCCCAAGATTGGTCCTTGTGTAAGGAGTCATCCGGATCCCAGGTGGCGCCCCCAGGTGGGGAGAGTGGCGTGGGCACCACCCTGAGGCCACAGGATTGGGGCCCTGGCACCATCCTGATGTGGAGGGCAGCCTGGGCCCGGAGCCCTGGGGCGGAGCAGGGACCCTAGGGCCAGGGGGCCTTGGAGCGGGAAGTGGGCCAGCAGCACCTGGCTTTGGGACGGGGGCGCAAAGGCCGGGAGGTGGGGAGGGAGGGGCACTCGGCCACTCCAGGCTGGCAGGACGAGGTGGGAAGGAGCGGCACACAGGGCAGGTGGTAGCCGCGATGGGCGGCCAGGTGTCTAGGGGCGCAAGCAGGGCCAGTGCTCAAGGCAGGGGTGCCACCTCGGGGCCTTGCTGCACCCTCACAGCCAAATGGGCTGGTCCCATCTGCACTGGCTTTTGGGGTCCCTGAGTGGTCCGGCATCCCAGCATGACCCAGCAGCCCAGTGCTGTGTGCCTTCCCCAGGCCTCTGTCTCTTTGGAGGCTGACGCTTGGTGCTTGTTGTTTTTGTTTCTGAAAACCCAGCAGGTCTGAAAGGTGGCCGAGTGGAGCTTCCGTCCTCAGCAGCCATCCAGCCAGCCCATCAACCTTCTCTGGAAAGTAGAGAGCCCCGGGCCACCTCACGGGGGCTGTGCTCAGAGCCATGGCCCCTGCTGTCCCACAGGCTCCCCCAGCGTGGCTGCCCTTGGGGGTGGGGTCCCTGGGCAGCCTCTTCTCCCCGCCCCTCCAACTCTCAGCCCCCCAGTCAGCTTGCTGAGGACCCACCCAGGTGAGTCTGGCATGGGCGAGAGGGAACCCCACACAAGGGAAACTGAGTCATATCTGGGCTAGTGCCTTGGTGGGCAGGGTAGGTGGGTCAGGCTCTTGGGTGTCAGTGCAGACCCCCACCGTGGGTGAGGAGACCACAGCCAACCAAGGTGGGAGATGTGGGTGCCCAGAGCCCGCAGTGAGGGCAGCCAGGACTGCCTGGCAGGCAGTCCTGCCCCACAGCTGGCCTGGCAGGCTGGTTCAGATCCCAGGAGCAGGGAGGGACCTAGGTCTAGGTGCCACCCCAGTGCCTTCCTCTGGCCGCTTCCAGGGGCCCACACAGGGGCAGACGACGTTCCCAGACAGCCAGGACCAGGAGCTGGCATCCTCCCGGGTGACCAGACCATAACAGCTGGTCTCGAAGCAGGGTGGCTGGGCAGTGCCAGGATGCCCCCTTCACTCTGCATTGCCAGAGGGTCAGGAGACGCAATGTCACTCGCCTCCCAGACCCCACCTCTGGCTCTGCTTGGACAGGTTTTGGGGACAGCCAGTCCTGTCTGCTGACCAAGGGTCCAGTCCCTTCAGATTTCCTTCTGGGGCCTCATAGAGCCGTGGGGTGGCTGTCACCATTACTGGACGGGGCCTGCATGGGGCAGGGGGGTTAGCAGCACTGAGTGAGAGCCCTGGTGCTCACCCCACTGACTGAGGGACCTGGGACGGGGCATGGTGCCATGCGCCTGAAGCTGTCCAGGGTACGGTGCTGCCCTGCACCCGGGGACAGCGAGCCAGACAGCACACAGCCCCTCTTCTGAAGGGCTCTGCAAGCCCTGGGGCAGGGAGGACCTGGGAGGACTCCATGCCCTGGCACCCAGCAGCGCCTTCTCTACACCTCCCTGTGCCAGGCACCCTGAGCCCTGTTCCCTGGAGGACAGGCACCAGGCCCTGATGTCCAGCAGGGTCTGCAGTGCCACCTCCCTGGGCAGCCAGGCGAGCTCCAGAAAGAAGGAGCAGCGTCCTGTGCCTGTCCTGCCACAAGGCCTGCCCAGGCCACTGTGGGTGGCAGGGGCAGGACCAGAGCCCTATGGGGGAAAAGCCCACCGCCCACCCAGAGTCCCAGTGCCACACCCTGTGACAGCCAAGTGGGAGGTGACAGCCTCCTCTTGGTGCCTCCCAGGTGGGTGGAGTCTCTCGGGGACACGGTGGCCACCCCTGTCTGGATAGCAGTGGTCCGGAGGCCTATGACTGGCCTCCCAAGCACCCAGTCTTTTCCTTCCCCTCCCACGTGGGTTGGCAATGTCTCGTGGCCTTCTGTCCCCAGCAATGCCCAGGATCCACACCTGGCTCGCCCTTACCCCGCTTGTTGCTCCAGGAGGCACCCGGAAGCCATGAGTCCCTGCCGGCGAGAGACTGACAGCCCTTTGGGGTGAGGTAGTAGGTTGTATAGTTTGGGGCTCCGCCCTGCTGTGGATAACTATACAATCTACTGTCTTTCCTGAAGTGGCCGTGATATCTGCGGTGGACACAGCCCTGGGCCCTGACTGGGACTTGTGGGGGTCATGGGGGGTCATGGCTACAGAGCAGCGAGAGGTGCAACCGGCTTGGGAGGCTCTGCGGGTTGGCCCCGCCCACCCCAAGGGTGTCCGTCCTGATACCTGGCATCTGCCCAGCCTGCCCCACTAGTGCTAGGCCTCTGGTGAGGGCAGTGGCTCTTCCCGGGCAGGGAAGGCAGCCCAGGGGCCTTTGCCTGATAGCATGCGAGAGGGGCACTCACTGAGACCACCCTTGTCTCCACCTCCTGCCCTGCGCCCACCTGGCCCTGCAGTGCCAGTGGCCAAGGCCCACAGGGCAGGGTTGGAAAGCAGGGCGCAGGGCAGGCCCTCCTGGCGGGAGCGGGCACCGGCGGGGTGAGGTAGTAGGTTGTGTGGTTTCCGGGCAGTGATGTCGCCCCTTGGAAGATAACTATACAACCTACTGCCTTCCCTGAGGAGCCCCGTGACATCCCTGGGGGCCCACCACAGCAGCCACGTGCTGGGAACAGCGCTGTTCTGACAAGGAATGAGAGAAGCAGGGGCTGGAGCCCGGCCCCCGAGCCAGGGGCTGGTCATTGTCATTTCCTCCAGGGCCAGTGTGGGTGACGGACAGGCACAGGCCACCTCCCTCCTCTAGGCTGCTCAGTCGGTGGTCATTTCTGTCCCCTTACCAGTACTAGGCCTCAGCCTCCAGACAGCGGCCTCTGCCTGCCTTAAGCCCCCTGCCCATGCTGCCCTGGCCCACCCCTGTCACCCCAGGGCACCTCCCGTCTCCCCCCTGTTCCATGGAGGCGCAGCCCCAAGCCGGGCCCCTGAGGAGGCAAACCTAGCCCTGCACCTGGTGGCTTTCTGGAGGAGATGATGCCAGCTCCTGTGTGTCCCTCCCTGACCTCCAGGACCTCTCAGCTGGTGGGTGTCAGGATGCCCCAAAGGAGGGAATGAGGGCAGGAGTTGTCCCTCACCCAGCAGCCGCCTGTGGATGTCCCAGGGCCTCGGGCACAGGGCAGGTCCCTGACTTCCAGTGTGAGCTCAGAAGCCCGTTTGAGAGGGTGGTGTCAGATTTACGGGATGTCAGGCGCCACCTGCTGCCCGATGCAGGGAGTGGCCTGGCCCAGCCCAGACCTGGAAGCTGAGGCTGCGTGGAGCCCTGAGAGCTGCCAGGAACAGCCCTACCAGGAAGGAGAATGGGGCCAGGACCTCGGCGGAGCCCGCAGCGGCACAGCTCTACTGCTGCTCCCTGGGAGTCTGCCGGGGCCGGGCTCCCTTGTGTGTAGGCCGGAACGACGGCCCAGCAGACCCCGCCCGTAGAGCTCCAAGGGACAGGACTGCCGTCCAGGACCAGCACCGAGGAGAGGCACAGGGGCTCAGAGTCACACAGCAGGCCCCACCTGTTCATCAGTGGGCACAGCTGGGGCCCAAGGGACAGCGAGGGACCCACATGTCACTCCCTTTAACATCCAAAAGAAGCCAGGTGTGGCTGACCCACACCTGAAATCCCAGCGCTGGGGTGGCTAGGCAGGAGAATTGTCATGAGTTCAAAGTGAGCGTGGACTACATAGCAAAACCCTGCCTCCAAATAAATAATGAAAATAAACTCTAAAGGAGAAATGAACTTAAAAATATTGGACACAAATGATACATAATAGGTATTGACCTGTAGGTATAATGAGTGCACAGTATTAATTTACGGTATGCTGTTAGGTGTTATGTGATGAACATAATGAGACTTTATTACACGATATATAGTGGACGCGCGTCTTATGTTGTGTGTCTGATGTTTGTGAGGGGGCTG